TTTGGAGCTAGAAAATTTTATTATTCAACAGGGTCTAACGTTTCAAGGGCTGAGAACTGTGGTCCCAGAGGTCCTATAGTTCACTCTTTTGATCTGGGTATCTACCACTCATTGACAGGGAATCCCTGCCGGGTTCTTTCAGCTTCTTCCTGAAGGGCAACTCTACCATGAGGCTTCTCTTTGGAATTTTGGAAAGTCTGACAAATCATATTAAGGAAAAACTTTCTATGTCCCTATAGCTTTCTTCCACTGGTTGTAGTTCTGAAGAAATAGATTAAGCTCATTTAAAGATTGAAATCAAGCTCCCAGGAGCCCTCTTTTTTCCCAATGAAATAGGCCCAATTCAGTTCTTTCCTCCTGGTATAAGGTTTCATAAACTTCATTGCTCTGGCTACTCCATTTTTCCCTTGTTGTTGTTGATCTGTTTGTCTAGGTCTCTTTTATAGCTTGCTGCTAGGAAATGCTCCTTGTGTTCACATGGTGGTGTGACCACTATGCTCACTTCCATCATCCTCGATACTGTTCCGCTTCTTTCAGTCTAAGCTGGCCTAAGCCTTCTTTAAGCTTACTGCTTCTTTAAGCATTTCTAGTGATTGCCTTGGCACAAGCAGCACACTCTGCTAAACTGAGAGCTAAAGATGCAGTAGAGTCAGAGGGCTTGGGCATCTTTACAGAGGATAGGCTAAGGGAGGACAAAGACAGAGATATGGAGCTAGAAAGGTAACGTATAGAAGGATAGTTTGGAAGAGAAAGTTTGGAACTCATACAATATTCTTTGAGATCATACCTCTGACATTTCAATAAAAGAATGGGAGATTTGAATCTTTCCCTATGGTCTTCAACTCCTAATATTTTAAGATATTCAAAGGAGAATGAGGATGTAGCTGAGTAGTAGAGTGCTTTCTTTGCAAGCATAAAACCCTGGGTTCAATTCCCAGAACAGGAAAAAAAAATCAAAGGGAAAGTTAATTTGAGCTGGAAAATTGTGTAAACCTCTTTAGCCATCAGTATGTTATAGGCTGTGGTAGTAACCTCTTTTATTCAAGTGTGTGTGTGTGTGTGTTTATTTTTAATGTAATCAGACCTATATTGGGCCCTACTGAGAAAATAAAAGTTGTTTGGAAAAATACAGATATTATTGCTTGTATGTTGTGATGATGTGGTAGCCAGCCTCCAAGATGGCCCCATGATTCTTGCTTTCTGGCATTTATATCCTTGAGGCTTGATCCAAGTAACCAAGAAAATATTGTAGAAATGATTGATTATGTGATGATCTGAATGCTTGTGCTCCTTCAAACTTAATAGATTGAAAGCTTAACCTTAATGAAGCTAAGAGGCTGGGCCTATGAGAGGTGATTAGATCATGAAGGTGGAACCCTCATGACTGGGATCCTTTATAAAGGATAAGGACCTGAGGGAGATTGTTTGCTTCTTCTGCCATGTGAAGATGCAGTAAAAAGGTGTCATTTATGGGGCTGGAGTTGTGGCTCAGAGGTAGAGTGCTCACCTAGCATGCATGAAGCACTGGGTTCGATCCTCGGCAACACATAAAAATAAAATAAAGATATTTAAAAAAGAAGAAGGTGTCATTTATGAGGAATAGGGCTCCCACATATCAAATATGCTGATGCCTTGAACTTTTAATGTCCAGAACTATGAGTGACAAACCTCTTGTTTATTAAATAATTATAGTAGCCTGGATGTACTAAGACATAGTGTTACTTCTGGGACTAGGTCATGAAAGATATTGTGGCTTCTGCCTTGTCTTCTTGGATTATTTGTTTTGGGGGAAGTCAGTAACCATGTCATGAAGACACTCAAGCAGCCCTAAATTCTTCAAGGGGAGAAACTGAGGCCTTCTGCCAATAGTCAGCATTGATTTACTAGCCATCTGAATGAGACATTCCAGTTAAGTTGTCAGATTGAGATAGACATTTGGGGATACAGAAACAGAGAGATACACTGAGTCTTAAAGAGAAGCACCCAACCTGTGTCCTTGGCTGATGTCCTTTCCTGCATGATGTTAGAATAATGTACAAGCACAAGGAAAACTGTCTTGAAATGGCATAACTTCACATGACTCCACTTCTAGACCAGCTCCAAGCTACTGTACCTGTGTAAATATTAACACTCTAGAGTAAGGGATTGCTTCTTGTTCCAGAGATGGTCTGCATTCTTCCTTGAATGTTGATTCTTTGCTTTACTTCTAAAACTGTTTACTCTTGAGATAGTCCATATTCTCTCTTGAATATGTCTCTGCTTTCCCAAATAAATCTGCTTGTGTTTCTAATATGTCCTTAAATTCATCTAAGATATTTGTCAAGAACTTGTCCTGAGTTGAGGTTCTCTCTCCAGGAACAACTCAGACATCCTCCATTGACAAGATGACTGTAGCCCTGGTGGCTAACTTGATTGCAACTTCATAAGATCCTGAACTGGAACCATTCAGCTAAACTGGTTCTGAATTCCTAGACTAGACAAACTGTGAGATGACGTTTACTGCTGTTTAAGTTATTAAGCTACCATGTTTCAAGTTTCTAAGCTTTGAGGAATTTATTATGCAGCAATAAATAATATAGATGACTAGAAAGGAAAAACAAATAGTAAAGACCTTTCATATTGGGCTTGTGCCTGTCCTAGTTCTTAAAGTTAGAACAAGTATTGAGACCGCTCCTGCTTTGGGACATTACTGACTACCAAATGTGGCTGTCAAGAGGATGATGAGAGAGAAAGACAAAATCTCTTGTTTTCCATTTTGTTTTTAGAGTTTATTTTGGCTCATGGTTTCAGAGGTTCATTCCATGGTCAGACAATTTCATTGCTCTGTTGTAGATGTAGAACATCATTGCAGAAGGGCATGGAGGAGTGCCAGTTCACTCATGGTGGCCAGGAAGCAGAGGGGGTCAGGGAGGAAGGGACCACAGGGAGGATGAACCTTTCTGTGGCAGACCCCAGTGAGCCACTTCCTCCCTACACACTTGTCCTACCTATAGGTATCCCCAGTTAGTTCACTCAAACTAGGATGGACTGGTTAACATAATCTAATCATTTCACAAGAATGAATATTCCACAGAAGCTTTTGGGGACACCTGACATCCAAATCAGAATAAATGGGGAGGGTAACCTTCTCTTTCGCCTTCTGAATTTGAAGAAATTCTGTTCTTACAATGGTTCTAATAGGGAACTATTCACAGTTCAATGAAGTAAAAAATATCATGTATGCTATCAACCATTCTTTTTAAAAAGTATTTTTAGTTATAGATGGACACAATACCTTCATTTTATTTATTTATTTTTTGTGTGGTGCTGAGATAGGACCCAGTGCCTTGCATGTGCTAGGCAAGCCCTCTACCACTGAGCCCCCAAACCACAGTCCCAACCATTTTCAATACTAAATAACCCCCTTTCCTCTCCTTTGACTCTTTCCTTACATTTCCTCTGTGCAATATTGCTTTAATTCCAGCATGCTTGATCCAGTAAAAAGCATAGAGATCTGCTGCCAATATACCCACAAACCACTTGTAAAGTTGTTCAAAAATATCAGAAAGAGCCCTAGCCTGGAGACCTGAGTTAGGAGTTAGGCTAGGAGACAGGTATTCTGTCACTGAGTAGCCTATACGGCCTTGGGCAAGTTGCTTTCCTTTTCTAGACCTGTTTCTTTACCTCAAACTGAGAATTAGATGAGGTCTAAAGTTGTGGGGATCTCACAAGTCAAGATTCCAAGGTGCAGTCCAAAAACGAAACCCGGTAGTCAACATACCTTGGAGTAACTGTTATAGTTACAGGGTTTCTTTGGTTTTCCCTTTATTAGCCAATGGACATAGTCTCAGTGAAAGGTGTCAGGTTTATTGGAAAATCTTCCGGTTTTCAAAGACGTGTTCTCCGGCGGGTTTCCAGTCACTAACTCTGGGTGACCTTGGGGAAAAGTTTCCTGGCTCACAGTAGGGAGTTCCTTGTTACCCAGAAGCAGCTTGAAGACCTGAGGAGTGACTTGGAGAGCTTTCCAGGATCCCCCTTCTACAACCCGGGTGGCTCAGACTCGGGAGCAGAGTCCCTAGTTATCCTGCTCTTAGGTGCACAAGAAACTTAAATCTGCTGTGCGGGCTGAGGGCCACTCAGCTTCGGAGCAGGTGGCCACAGGTGAGTTCTTAAAGGGGTCGCCTGAATTTGGGTGATATCTGAGAGGGTGATCGGTTGGAAACGCAGGCTGGGGAAGGAATGAAACTTCTCTCGCCGCCCTTAAACGTACTCACACTTTGAATTAACCACTTAGATTTTAAAATTCTCTACTGAAACCCTCAATTATTCTTAACACGTTAACGAGTCTCCCTGGTTTACATACCCCTTCTTGATGAAACCTCTCAGGTCTTTCACTGAGAGATGAAAGGTAACTTTAAAACAATCAGCACACTGTGAAGGCAACTCAGAGATGCCCCACCTCCCCGCAACTCTTCTTCCAAGTCCCACCCTCCACCGCCCCCTAACGTGGGCGGTGCCATCAGCCCTGGGAGTCCGCTTTCTCCAGTTGGGTATGCTCCTCCGGGGCGCCAGGCGCTTGTGCTGCTCACACGTGTTCAGTAGGGTTACGGGGTATCTCGGATTGTGTATCTTGCATCTAGTGTAAGCGACGTCACTTCTGTTTTCACACACCTTAGCTCTCCCGGGCCTGGCGCGCTGCTAGCGCAGAACCGCAAGACACACCAGTGGGCTATAGCGAGGTAAAGACGGGCTGTCCCAAAACCACCCCCGACCACCTGTAGAGTTTGTGTCAACTCCTTTGTCCTCGGAGCCACTTTGGTGGTTGCCTCTTTAATGGAGGCGCTTCCCTCGGGATGCTCTACGGGTCCCCCTTCCCGTTCCCCAGCCCCCTCCCGGTCCTCCTCCCCTTCCCAACCCAAAGGTAGCAGCGCTGAGAGCCCGGGGCTCGGCGCGAGCCGCCTCCTCACTTCCCATTGGCTGAGAGCGCCGGGAAAGCAGTCACGTGGGAGCGCGGCAGTCTTGCTCCGGGGCCGCCATCTTGGCGGAAAGTTTGGGGGGAGAGCGGCTGGGGGCGCGGAAGGAGGCGAGGTTCCGGGGGTGGGGCGGATAGGAGGCGAGAGGGCGAGCGGGTTAGTGGGCCGGCGGGCCGCGGGCAGCAAGGAAGCTGCTACAGCGGTCGAGAAGGAGGAAGAGGCAGCGGGGGTGCGGCCGCCCAGGGGAGCTCCTCCCCCGTCCCCTCACCCCCTCAGCTGAGTCCTCCAGCCCGGGGCGGGGCGGGGGTACGTGGAGCGGGGTAGGGCGGAGGAGCTGCTCCGAGTCGGGCCCCGGCGCACCCCAGCTCCCGGTGCACGCCGCTCACAGGAACTTTGTGGCGGCGCCGCAGGTGTGGGGGCCCTCGGAGGTGTGCATGTGCTGTGCGAGGGCGTCGCGGAGAGCGGCCGCTGCCCTGCCCGGCCCCCTCTGGAGTAGCCCGGAGGAGGCGAGCAAGGAGAAAGGCAAGCGAGAGGAGGGGGCCCAAGCAGGGCGGGGTGGCCAGTCCATCGGATCCCTCTCAGCGCACTCTTCGGCCTCAGCTGGCTTAGGGGCGAAGGGTTGGAGTGCCTTTTAAGCCACTCGCCCGCAGTAGCAGGTGGGGAGTGTGGATACTTATGTGGGGTGAGAGGTGACCCCCCCCTTTTGGCTTTTAGTGCCTTTTGAAGGGGTGAAGCTTTCGAGGAGAATTTGAAAGCGGACTTTTGTCTGCTCTTAATTTGCAGGGGAACCCACCCCTAGAAAGAAGCTTTCTTACATTGGCTGACACTGCTGGGTTTGAGGCTCCTCCTTTCACTTGGGAAAACTTTTGGAAGGTGGGCTTTTGAAATATGGCCGGGGATTTTTCCTTTCGAGACTAATGGGGAAATGTTAGTTTAACTACAATGACATTCTTTTCTTTAGTTCTTTTTCCTTTCTGTTTTGTGTTTTTAAAGGTGTGTGCCCTCTTCCTGATTCTGGAGAAAAATGCCGGTCCGGAAACAAGGTGAGAATTTATTTTGGAACACTTGTGGATGTCACTTGCTTTACTGTGCATCTGTTTTGTGTTTGCAGTTTTAAAAATGTTTGTGTAACTTGCCTCACATCATTTCAAAAGGTGGAGACACCTAAATGTTTGTTAAACTTAACTTTCTTGACATCTCTCTAGTGGTTAGAGAAACAATTTTACCCCCTTTTCGGAAATGCCTTTGTAAATTCAGAATTTGAGTTTTAGTCTTTCACTTTTGTGAGCAACAGTGAGATACTAAGAACTGATATTTTGAAACTCTTAAAATTTGGATTATAATGACAAATTGTAGATAATCTGCATTTGCCTATCAGGTAATCTGAAACTCGGTTGTTAACACTTTGATCAGATGGTCTTTTACTGTTGTAAATTATTAGTATGTTTTTATTACAGACTGCTCACTTTCCTGTTTTTTCTACTGTGATAATATTTACATTTTTTCTTGATCATACTAGGGAATATGTATACATAAACATAGTAATAGCAATTGACCTGGAGGATTTGGGGAATTGTTTAGATGTCTTGCAGGATCATTTAGCAAGTAATATTTTCTTGTAAATATATATAATTTTAATAAAACTCCATTTTTCTTTTCAGATACCCAGAGAGCATTGCACCTTTTGGAAGAGTATCGTTCAAAACTGAGCCAAACTGAAGATAGACAGCTCAGAAGTTCCATAGAACGGGTTATTAACATATTTCAGAGCAACCTCTTTCAGGCTTTAATAGGTGGGAATTAAAATTTTATTTGTGGCCATTATGTGTCAGCTAGGCTTAATTCTTCTCTGAATTCAGTTGTTTTAAACTTTAGGGAAAGATGTACTTGGTTCTACATGAGACATTCAGAAACTTGAACATCTTCAATGACTTGTGTTTTTCTCAGTTTGGACAGTATTCTTTCTAAAAATATCCAATAACCAAAAAACATTTCCTATGATTTTCTTTTTTTTTTAGCAGTTTTTGATATCAGTGTTATGTCTAGAATTAACTATTAAAAGTTTGGGAAATTGCGTAAATATTTCAGGACCCAAAAGGTAATGACTGAATTACTCTTAGCTTATTTCTGTATTTGACTTGTATTTCTCTCAAGTCCTTGAAGATGTTTGATACATTCAACCATGTTTAAGAATATTCATTCTCTTAACACAGACCTCTATTACTGGCATTTGTGGAGTCAGGATTTTAAACCTGGAAAATGATCTTAGAGATGGTCCTGTCTAATTATCTTATTTTACAGACAGGAAAATTGAAACTCAAATTCTTAAACTGGAACTTAAATTTGAGGTTGTGCATTGGTTTAAAGAATTGGACAAATAGTAGCCCTGAGTTTAATTCCTGACACTGCCAGTAATTGAATGATATGATACAAATTACTTAACATTTTTAGGCCACAAAATTAACTGAAAATGTGGGTTTTTAAACCCTTTTCTTTTAAAACTAGATAGATCCTTTTTTCCAAAGTCTTAGATTTTGTATACAATCTCCAATGTATAAAACAAGGTGGTCTGTCTCTGACTGTTTTCTTGTACCTTGCAAAATTAGCAAACTACTGAACTAGAAAATCTGTTTCTTCTAGTTTTGAGGATTACTTTTTTTTTAAACACTATATAACATTTTAAAATAAGAAATATATTTCATTGCATTACATGTGTTTCCTTATGTATGTCAACTGATGATTGATTTAATTTGAAGATTACTTTGAAGTTGGTGTACATTGTCAAATGATAAATTGATACTCAATTTGTTTTAGAATTAAGATTTTTGAGACGACCTCTTGATACACCTGAAAAAAATTTAAATTTAACGTTATTATAGACTTTTAAAAACATACATTGAGAATAGCACAATATAATGAACTGCCATATACCTGTCATCCTTCTTAAAAATTATCAATATTTTTCCTTTTTTGTTTAGATTAGTGGACTTTTTCTTTTCTTTTTTTTTCTTTTTATTTTAGCTGAAGCTTAAAGTCCAAGTGGATAATCAAATCAAATAGGTTGTTCTGGGGGGAAAAACAGCAAAAAAAGGAAGAAGATGATCATTTTTTTTAATCGTTTGGTTTTCTAGATCAACATTAAACCTAGGGTCACTTTTTAAAAAAAAGCAGTAGGACTGTATATCCCTTTTTACATATATGCTAGACATAGGTAGACTACAATCTTATTGTGTGGGAAGGTCATGATTTGAGAAAATAAAGTGGTAATAGAGTAAACAGAATTTACCCTTAATTTTTCCCTAGATTAGGACTGGACTTGCTACGTTTGGATGTATTTTTGACATATTCTTTTGAATGTTTATTCTTATGCATAATTGAACTTTGAGAGTTTTTTACTCATGTTTGTATTTGTCAATCTATACGCCCTGTATAATTTCATTGGTTGTGAATTTACTTTGATATTTGAGTTTACTTATATTTTAATGTTTTATAGGATGTGGTATCAAATTTTGGTGTAAGAAAAGTAATAGGTCTTTAGGAATTTTGAAATAGATAAATTTAGTAAGGTTTTTGTGTTTCCATACTGTAATTAATTGTTGAAATTACTGAATTTTGTGTTTGCTTCTCAGTCTGAAAATTTTTAGACTAGTAAGAATTTTTTTCTGCCTTTTTACTTTACAGCTTTGCCATTGTTTATGAAATAGTATCATAATATATGTTAAACCTGTAACTTGCCCTAAGATAAAGAGCAATCCATTGTGTCCATAGTATGTACTGAATAATCCTGGATTAATTGTTTTTTCTTCAGTAGGTGATACTCTGTCTTCTGAGCTAGTACCTGTAGACTACTGGATTAAAAGGAGACATGTGTCTTGGCCACCTGAGTTACTTGAAAGTCATTTGGTGTTAAGGTGTTTTAACTTCTGTGGTTTGGAAATAATTTGCTTAGACAAATTAGTGAATTATCTAGTTATCTGGGATGTTGACTATCTTTGAACTTATACCAGCATTGATTGTTGATTGAACTGGTAGTTTGTATATTTACTGTTTCTATGCATTTAAAAAAAATTATGTGATGTTTTAGTTATTTGGATGTTATGGAAATATCTCTGTAGTGGGTATATTCCATGTACTAGGTGTCTGGTACCTTGGAGTTACTTAGAAACAAAACATGTATGTACTGCACTACATATGTTCTAAGATAATAGTTTTAAAATATTTTAGTATTTTTCGATTTGGGATGTATTCTTAATGAAATGTCATTTTTAATAATAGGCTGTGGGTTTTTTTTTTGCATTTTTAGTGGCATATGAAATGATAGTGTAATTTATAATATATTTTTCAGTTTAATGAAATATGGAAATCATTGGTAGTATCCTTGAATGATGACTTAAAGATTTAAAATTTGCTGAAAGTAGTGAAGTTTTTATTAACTTTAGAATTTCAGCTGATAAGTTGTTTCTTTAGAGCTGAATATTTAGATACATACACAAATATTACCATGAGTTGCACTTTTGTTTAATATTTATTCCTGAAACCTATCTGGTGATTATTTTTGTATAAATGAAATATAAAGTCTGCCTAATTTTACTCCCTGAGTTAGGTGAGAACAATTTGAGAACTTTATGTATTTGATTTTGTGTTTCCATTTTCTGTACTTAAATTTGAAAAGTTTTTGAGGAAGATACATCAAGATATGGTTTGAGTTCATTCAGAAACACTCAGATGCTCAGGTCTATAGGTTTCAGGTCACTTCTGATTCTAAGGTATATGGGATTTGAGATGATCCTGGTGGTCCTTAGAGATTTCAGACCTCTGCAGTTATTTCTGGTGGGAACAGAGAACTTTCCTTGTGCACAGGATCATGGGCTCAAGATCAGGCTGGCTTTAGAGATGAATAAGTTGAGTGTGATTTATGTATTTGGTCTGCAATGAATATCAAGCTTTTAAAAATTATTTTTAAAAATAAATTTTATTGTGTGTATTTGAGGCTTACAAAATGATGTGATAGAATACATAAGATGGTTACTTACAGTGAAACAGATTAACCTGTCATCTCACAGTTACTTTTATTTTGTAACAAAACAGCTAGAATCTAAGAAAAATTCATAATACTGTCTGATTTTATTAGCTTTAGTTCTCATTTTGAGCATTAAATTTTGAAATTTGTTCATCTTATATCTGCTATTCTTGTATTCTTTTGCTTAAATATCATTTTCTCTCCCTCCCTTCCCCACTATTTCATTCTCAATGTGTGTATTTGAACCCTTTTCCCCTCTAAATATTGTACATATAAGAGTGAAATCATGCAACATTTTCCTTCTGTATCTGACTTAATTAGCATAATGTCCTCTAGGTCCATCCCTGTCATGGCAAGTAGGACCCCCTTTTTAAAGTCTAATTATTTAATTTTGTGTGTGTATTTAAACATAGACACCATGTTTTCTTAACCTGTTAATCTGTTGATGGACATTTAGTTTGTTTCCATATCTTGGCTATTGTGAAAAATGCTGCAATGAACATGGAAGTACAGGTGTCTTTACAAGGTGGTGATTTCATCTCCTTTGGGTATACCTATACCCAGATGTGAGATTGCTTGATTGTATGGTAGTTTTATTTTGAATTTCTTTAGGACCTGCTATGCTATTTTTCTTAATGACTGTATCAATCTAAATTCCCACCTACATTGTACTAGGGTCCCTTTTTTTCCCCACCAACATTTGTTATCTCTTGACTCTTTTGAGAATGACCATCTTTATAGTATGGGGAGATCTCTCTAAGTGGTTTTAATTTGCATTTCCCTGATGATTAGTGATGTTGAGCACCTTTTCATATACTTTTTAGCCATTTTTATGTCTTTGGAGAAATATTATTCAGGTCCTTTGCCTATTTTTTAATTGAGTTATTTGTTTTTCTGCTGTTGAGTTGTAAGAGTTATTTATAAATTCTGGATGTTAACCACTTGGAATATATGTGAGTTGTAAATATTTTTTCCCAGTCTCCAGGTTGCCTTTCTAATTTTGTTGATTGTTTCCTTTAATAGCAATCTTATTTTATTTGTGCAGGTATTTTAGCATTAAGGTGGATAATGTAATAACATTGTGAATTTTTTTAGTTCCCGATTCATTTGTTGCTGCTCTATTAACTCTTAATAGTTTCACTAGACCTTATAAATATGGTAAAGATCATTACCATGCCCTTATTTGTAGATACCAGGTGTCAGAAGTACTACTCCTTTACCATGTAAACTGTTTTGAAAGGTATTATTCAGAAAGTTGAAGTATATTCATATTGTTGTGAAACAGATCTTTGGAACATTTTCATCTTGCAAAACTGAAAATGTATAAAACAGCATTTCCTTTTCCCTTCACCCCTGTCCCCTGCCTCTGATAACCACCCTTTTACTTTGTTTCTATGAATTTAAGTATGTTAGACACCTCATATAAGTGAAAATATGCAGTATTTGTCTTTTTTGTGATTTGTTAAGTGACATAATTACTTAGTATGTAGTCCTAAAGGTTCCTCCTTGTGGTAGTAGACGACAATATTTCCTTCCTTTTAAAAGGCTGAGTAATATTCTATTGTACGTATGTCACATTTTATTTATTCATTCATGTAAGGATATTTACAATGCTTCTTTTGGCTATTATGAATAGTGATGTTATAAATATTAGTGTGTAAAAAATATTTGAAGCTCTACTTTCTGTTCTTTTTAATATATAATCAGAAGTGGGATTGTGGGATCATATGGAACTTATATTGTTAATTTTTTAAGGAACCACCATTTTGTTTT